ATTAATTTTTTAAATGAAAGGGCCCCCAATTTTTTTTTTTTTTTTTAAGAATTTTTTTTTTTTTTTTTTTTTTTGTGGAAGGGCCCCCTGTCGGTCGAGGGCCCTTGGAATTGTCCTAACTTTCCCCCCTCTATGGCGCCCATTGTCCCATTTAAGGAAATCCCAGCCTGTAACCAGTCGACAGAACTGGAATCACCAGTTCTGTTTCATGTTAATTATCTTTTAACCTTTATTTACCTTGGTGAGTAACTGAGGACAAATTTTTATCTACAATAATGACATGGTGGGAAATAGATGACACACATGCAGATCTCGCAGAGCACGGTCAAAATAAACAACAAGCACCGACAAAGCTGTTGAGGTCATAAAAACATTACAAACAGAGGACAGAACTTAACACTAAATATTTCATATTTCAGGCGGCATCTTCATTTAAAAAAATATATTTTTTTAAATTTCTATTGATACAAAGGTGCAGAGCCCAATGGACAGATATCTCTCTAAATGCTGATGTAACTTTGGGAACATTGAGCATAATGTGTTGGGGCAGGCATGTGCTCTAGGGAGTAACAGCAGCTTGTAACAAATTGCAAAGCTAGGGCGCGGAAAGATCACAGACATCTATAAACAAACACATACCAGTGAATTTTTCTTCCTTTGTTTTAAGGATGACCAGTTAGCAATGAAGTGTGTTTTACAGTAACGTGTGTGAAAAGAGGCATTAGCTGTAAAACATAAAGAAGAGTGGTATAACATCAAGTCTCTGTAGTGAGGGCTTTGGGACTGACCTATATAATATTATCGTAGTCAAACGTGGGATTGATAAGTCATCTGGGCCATATTATTTTAAAACTGATTTGATATTCTTGATGCTTAATTGAATTTTAAGCAAGTAAGAAATTATTTCTTCCGCGTTCAGTTCAATGCAGATTATTTATTCAGTCACATTCAGATTACAGAAATCAGGTACATTATCACCACCTTCTTCATTGTGTGCCATATTCCACAGCGTTGCCTGTCGGAGCAGCAGCTTAACATGTAAGAGGAAACGACTGGATAAACTCACCAGGAAGAAAAGGTCTTGTCAGGAAGTCCCTTTGACGCGGAGCAGGGAGCGAGGGACCAGCAAAACGTCTCTCTTGGAAAATTTCTCCCACTGCACGCATGATACTGTTGCAGAACTGGAGAGCTCCTTCGGTGACAGGGTGTTGCATCCTAAATGCACAAAGAAGTGTTATTGTTGGTCCTTCCTCCAAGCAGCTGTTAGACTTTATAACCATCTCTACTACCCAAAAGGCAAAACAAACTGTTCACTTTACTGCTATTATTTGCACAGGTTTCCATATTTTTTTTTCAATATTTTGTTTTTGCATTAATATACAAAAGCCTTTACATTGTCTTATTACAATTGTACATTTTGTCGAGTCTGCATCTGCTATTTTTCATAACTATTATAGTTATCAGTAATGTTTTTTTTTGCTCCTACAAAGCGAGGAAGTCGAACTCATTTTCATTTTGGGCCAAATCAAGATCACAAATGTCCTCTAAGAGTTAAAATATTAATAAATAGCTATTTACTTTGGCAGAATACACATAAACACTTCTCTGATTAATACAATAATAATCAAGCACCAAACTTTTTCTCTATATAAAAATCTATCTAGAGGGCCTCAAAAAAACTAATGCTGGCCGGATTTGGCCCCCGGGCCTCGAGTTTGACAAATGTGCTCTAAAGGATTTATTGGTATTCATTCATTCATTTCCATTTTTGTTTTAACTCAGCTTAACTTGGAATGAAAGTGCTACATATTTCTGTTTTATTACACTCCTGTGGTAGAAATATATAGAATTTATAATACAATATCACGCTGTTTATGATACACCTGGTGAAATAAAAATCCCTGTGATCCTTATTTAATCATATCATAATAAAGGAAAAAACTAACTAATCACGCCTCCAGATCGTAAATACATAGAACATGACGAAGATTTTTATCACGATGGTTCAACTATTTTATTTCTCTTGGCTCAGCAGGAACACTCAGTAGAAACTCAATATTGTGCGTCTTACATTGCATGTTGTCTGTTTTGGTGGGTTTGGACACAGTCAGAGTCAGAGATACAACTGTTCATAAGTGATTCTAAGAGTCTTCTCTGTCGGCGGGGCTTTTACCCAATCAGATGAACAGGTTTATTTAGAGGGCATTGTCATCGAGTACAGTGTTTTCCGGTCCTCAGGGACCACTGTTCTGCATATTTTAGATGTGTCTCTGTTCCAGACCACCTGGTTCAAATGATTGCATGATGTCCTCTGCATGCCACCAAGTGCTGCAGAAGCCTGTTAATCACATACATATTCAAGTCAGGTGAATGGCAGAAGGGAAACACCTAAAACATGCAGGGCAGCGGTCCCTGGGGACGGGAATCGAGAAACACTGATCTAGTGTATTTATCATGTAATGGTTTGCCGTGGTATGAATGTAATTTAGATTAGGTCTGCGAGTTTCCCTAGGGTTCCTTGAGTTTCACTGTCCTGGAGTTCTACAAAGGTGCTAATCCTGCTTTGAGTGGAGGCATTAATAAAGTACAGATAACTATTCCAAGCATGAGACTCTGCGGATCGCAGTAACTAACTGTGTAAAGATTTTACCGTAGGGTTAATTATTAATATATATTGGTAGATAAACTACTGGGACAAGTTTCCTGGTGTGGCAACATTTTTATTGGTAGGGGTTGGATCAACAGTTAGCTCATAATTGTAAAGGTGAAGTAAAATGTTTGTTTGTTTTCTTTCTTTTTGAACAAATAAAATTTGGCATGTGTGGTGCGCATTTGGATTCAGATGCAGCTGCTAATCTTTTTGGGGCGTTTCTCTGTCAGTAAAGACGGCACATGTATACCCTGAAGTAATAGCCTATTTTTTAATGCAAAAAAGCTCAAATTGGATGTAAAGCAAGCAGGAGATAAACCTCAAGTTTTATTTTATTCTTTTCAGGAATTTATCTCCATATATCTCCCTAACTCAGAGTCCCTGTCCCTCCTTAAGAAATGCATCCCTCATATGCAACATGATGCCCTGTCCATTCAGGTTGATCTACAACAGACTATTAGCTATCCTTTGTAAACAAAAAGTAAAAGTCTATTCTCATCTGACCAGAGAACCTCTCTACACGATTTGTGATCCCTACTTGCCTTGTGATAAACTTAAAAAGTTTAAGGTAAGTTAGCTTACCTTAAAGAATGGCTCTATTTTTGTCACTGTGGAAGCCTAGATAAGATTTATAGTTCATCACCCTTGGTTGCCCTGTCAATAAGTTCTCCCACCTGAAAAATGTGAAGAGAAAAAAAAATGTACACACGCCAGTTTTCAGATTTTCATTTCGACAAAAAAAAAAAAGTGAAAACCGTTAACCACTGAAGTTGAAGTGGTGTGGATACTTTTCCAACGCTCTATATAGCAAGTAGATGACAGAAATAATGGCTCAATAACTCTGTTTATCGTTTTGCCCTGCTCCTTCGTATTTGTCGAACAGTGTTAGGGTAAAGGAGGTAGAAACAAAGTCATTTAGCTCGTGCTTTCTCTGTCGTCTAACGTTGCCACGGTTTCACTTTGCGCGCGCGTGCATTAGTGCGCGCTCACGCTGGCTATTGTGTTTTTTTTTTTATTATTACTAAGAGACAACTGTGGCCTTGCTGGGGTAACGGAGCGGGTGACCAGCTGAATAATAACTAAGGGGCATTAAAAACCATGGCGGACGAACAAGAAATAATGTGCAAGCTGGAGAATATCTTGGAAATACGGTAAAGCGCAAATTCTGCCTCTTCAATGAATGTTTTCCAGATGTTTGGCTAGTGTTTCGAAGCGTTAAGTTAGCTAGCTTTAGCCGTCTGGGAATAACCCCCCTTGGCTTCGCTTTTGTTTCTTACCTCGCTAATATTAGCCGCTCTGCTTTGAATTAAAGGCGTTTTGCTGCTGTGCATATCCATTATTCTGTCTCTGACAACGTGGACAGGCGGGCTAATTGTGTAACAAATACAGACGGAATTCGGGTGCTGAAAGCGCCTATTAGGGGCAATGCATCAAAATCCCAGATGTATCACAACAAATACCAGATGTGCTCTGCTGAACTGTGCTAGCTAGGTCCTTAGCTTAGCAATCTGTCGTTTGGCTGGTTAGCAGAAGTGGACGGGATGGTGGGATTTTTTTTTTTTTTTTAAATGGCAGTCTTTTCTTTAGAAACAGGTTTGTGCGGTTTTGAACACTGTAATTACAATGTACGGAATTGATGGGTCTTTTACGTCACGTGTGTGTGTGTGGGAATTTTCTTTCTTTATACATTATCTGATTCGTCCGTGATAGAGTAAACCTATTCAGAATCCTGACAGTTGGAGGAAAAAAATCAAACAAATAATAAAAGTGTGTGCCACGGGCTTGCAGAAACAAGACGATCCAGATGCAGAAGATTAAATCTCGTCTAAAGATTGAGTTTGAGGCTCTGGAGTCGGAGGAGAAGCATTTAAAAGAATACAAGCAAGAAATGGATCTCCTTCTCCAAGAGAAAATGGCCCATGTTGAAGAGCTGCGCCTCATCCATGCAGATATTAATGTGGTGAGTTGGTCAAATTCCTAAATGCTCTTGAACCCCAAAACCCATTTGGTTATTGTTAAATAAAACTTCCAGCGGAGTTCCAGCGATTGAAAGGTTGTTATTTGAAAAATTCTTCAGTGTCAATCAAAGGACTGGCATCTGGCTCTAAGTGGAATCCATTGTTTCAGGCTCTGAAGTTTTATCGTATTTTTTTGGCCAAAACCTTTATTAATCTGTCATTTCAGATGGAGAGCACCATAAAGCAGTCAGAGAACGACCTGAATAAATTGCTGGAGACAACTCGCCGCCTCCATGACGAGTACAAGCCTCTGAAGGAGCACGTTGATGCACTCAGGATGACTTTAGGTCTGCACAGACTGCCCAACTTGAACGAAGAGGAGGAAAAGCTCTCTCTGGAGTAAGTATATGCACACACTGACATGTAAATACAACACAACAAATGTGCTACTTAATACGGTCCCTATTGCATTATTGTGACGTTGGAACCACAAACCGATTCTGTTTTATTTGAGTTTTATGTGATTGACAAACACATATTGGAGCATAATAGTAAAGAAGATGTAGAAGTATCCATAGTACAAATAAAAATATTTAAAATGTGATGTATATTTGTAAAACAGCCTTTTTTTTTCTTTTTTTTCTTTTCTTTTTTTGCAAAAACTCCTGCCTTAGGCTTTGTACTACAGAGATGAAGATTTTTGTTGCAGTGTGATGTGGATCTGGACTTTGACTGGAACAGAATTAACTCATAAATAAACTAAAGCTGCACAATATATCCAATCAAAACCACCACCATAATTTCATAATTTGCAATTGCATAGAACTGCTTGGATCCAATATTTGATAGGCATGCAAATATTCTGCATACTGACAATTTATTTTTCCGGTTGGAGAAGCAGGCCCTGCCCATGATGCCCTGTAATTCGCGCTATCAGCTGCTAAATGCTTCATGACCTGATTTTTCATTGCTTTCTTTCAGCAATGTTTGTTTTTTTAAAGCTCCCCTTCCGTATATGCCAGATTTGTCGAGAACCAACAGTTTTCCTGTCAGCGTATGTCTGCAGCTTTTCGAATAAATTCTTCATCTGGCCCATCCGTTGTGCCACGCGGTGGTCTGTGAGATGGTCAAAGATTTTGATGCAGTTTTGTGATTCAATCCTTCTTTGAATTTATCCACAACTTTTTCCTTGAGCTGATAGTTCACTTCATGTCTGTTCTTCATCATATCGCCCCAACAGAACTGCTGTGTTTACAATCTAGTAAGGTAAAAACCTTTCAGAAAAAAAAAAAAAATTAAAAATGCACTGAAACTTGTGGCTGTGATTTGACAAAAATGTGAAAAACCTTTACAGGATGCTGTAATTTTTTTATTATTATTTTTCTACAATTAATTTGTAACAAGTCCTGGAGGTAAGATACTTTCTTTTGTTATTTGAATGTTATGTAAAAGATCTTGTATACAAAATGACTTGATATTTGCGTAACACGCTTTAATTCGTTTTATTTGCCTTTAGTATTATAACATGTTTACTACTTGCAGG